ACCATTGGCCTTGTGTCGTTGTGGGAGGACTGGACAAGTCTGTATGTACAGCACATGGGGGCAGGTCAGGTACCTGCTGAGGGCTTATGTAGGTGTGTACATTTATCCTCATTATTATAATGGTATCTGATGCTTTGAGACTGCAAATTAGAGAGATCTGTAGTTAGAACAGGTACTGAAAAAAATCACTTTTGGTATGTCTAAAATGTCTCATAATAAGTGGTCAAATAAATATAATTTTTTTTTTGAGACAGTCTCACATTGTTGCCCAGGCTAGAGTGAGTGCCATGGTGTCAGCCTAGCTCACAGCAACCTCAAACTCCTGGCTCAAGCAATCCTACTGCCTCAGCCTCCCAAGTAGCTGGGACTACAGGCTGCACCACCTGCCAGCTTACTCTTTTATATATTATTAGTTGCCGGGTCTCGCTCTTGCTCAGGCTGGTTTCGAACTCCTGAGCTCAAGCAATCCACCCGCCTCGGCCTCCCAGAGTGCTAGGATTACAGGTGTGAGCCACCACGCCTGGCCCATGTTCGGAAGTTTGTGTGTTGAGTAGCCTATAACTACTACAGACTTGTGTATCTTTTGTCTATCCTCCCTGCATCCATATCGTAGGACTGGAGAGAGAAAGGGAGGGGGTTGTTGCATTATTAAACCTTCCACAGAAGATAGTTATGGAGCATCAGTAGGACTCCGAGCTAGGTGTTTATAGCCACAAATGACATGCTCCTGCTCCAGGGAAAGTCTTTATTCCACTCATCAGTCCTAGATGTTGGACAAGAAGTGGCAGCAGCATTCTCTACATCAGCTCTGTTCTGTGCTGCACATCGAAAGGGAGTGACCAATTAAAGTGAGGATGTCATTCCCTCTGCTTTTTTCTTCTAGGTACAACAGACTAGCAAGAGAGTGGACACAGAAATATGCTATGTAAGTGCCTGGGAGGTTTTACAGGAGACATTGTCCAGGAGAAGCTAGCTGGGCAGAGATGTCTTCCCATGAAACTCTGAGCTGTTGGGCTGAGCCACTGGCAGAACGTCATCTGTTCTTCAAACATTGATCACCCACTTTCTCCAGCCGCAGCATGTTGGTACCATCCTCAGCCATTGTGGCTTTGAAAATGTCATGTCTTTGATGCCAAATCAGCAGCCATTGTTGTTCTGTTCTGCAGCCTTCTTGGTTGCACTGGAATTTGCCTCCTGAGCGTGCTGGGCCCTGCACGCTTCCCCTGCCCAGCCTGAAATGGTGCTGCCGCCTACCATGGCGTCACATGGGGGCCTCAGCCTGGACCTTTACCACGTGCCCTTTGCCTTTTAAAACTTAGTGCCATCCCAGGTGTCCAGGGTGGAGTGGGCTTTTGTCACAGCCTGTCTGCCACAGAACCACATGCCAAGGAATCAGCTCACTCACCATGGAAGCTCCTAGGAATTGAGAACAGTGTCACTGGGAAGTGGAGGCCTCACCCTACAGCTTCCACCAGTCTTCCTCTACAGTGCCACATGCTGGCATGTCTCCTCTCACACCAAGAAGCAGCAAGTGGAAAATGTCAGGATATAAAGCACATAACACCCCATGAGAGATGACTGTTTTTAGAAGCAAAAGCAAAATTATGAAACCTGAAGAGATTAGGGCTGTGCTTTTCTGTGTGATGAGGTTTTTTCACCATCCCCTTCTCCTCCCACTAGGAGCCTACACGAAGTCCAAATGTGAGCCATTCACAGACTAGAACACGAGGGAGAGAAACTCTTCTCAATGTAAATAAAAATGCAATTTACTCATAACTCTAAGTGATAATTGACATTTAAGTCTCCTTTTCCTTTCAGGGAGAACAGAAGATATGGACACTTTTTTAACAGGTTCCTTAGAGCCTTAAATTAGAATAGACTGTTGGGTGACTGGCTTTCTGATGCAACATATTTTAAGGTTTGCCCTTACAGCTGAGAGCTTTGAGATTAGATTAGCTAGGCTGGGCATGGTGGTCCACGCCTATAATTCTAGCACTTTTTGGAGGCCAAGGTAGGATTGCTTGAGATTAGGAGTTCAAGATCAGCCTAAGCAACATAGTGAGACCTCTTCTCTACAAAAAGTAGAAAAATTAGCTAGGTGTGGTGGTGCATGCCTGTAGTCTTAGCTATTCAGGAGGCTGAGGCAAGAGGATTGCTTGAACCCAGGAGTTTGAGGTTGCTGTGAGCTATGATCATGCCACTGCTTTCATGTCTAGGCAACAAAGTAAGACCCTGTCTCCAAAAAACAAACAAACAAAATAGAGATTCACTTAAAGAAAAGGGAAGGAGGCCGGGCATGGTGGCTCACACCTGTAATCCTAGCACTCTGGGAGGCTGAGGCAGGCGGATTGCTCGAGGTCAGGAGTTTGAAACCAGCCTGAGCAAGAGAGAGACCCCGTCTCTACTATAAATAGAAAGAAATTAATTGGCCAACTAATATATATAGAAAAAATTAGCCAGGCATGGCATGAATGCCTCCTGCTCATCCATGTTATTGCAATTGACAGAATTCATTCTTCTTAGCTAAATACGTATTCCACCGGTAGATAACCATGGGGGTGCAGGAATCTTTTTGGTACAGTGATTTCTTTTCCTTTGGATAATTACCCAGTAGTGAGATGGCTGAATTGTATATCATATTTAGTTGGTTTTTTTTTTTTTGAGTCAGGGTCTCACTGTTGCCAGGCTACAGTGCCATTGGCATCAGCTTAGCATAGCAACCTCAAACACCTGGGATAAGCAATCCTTCTGCCTCAGCTCCCAAGTACTGGGACTACAGGCATGTCCCCATGCCTGGCTAATTCTTTCTATATAATTATTAGTTGTCTGGCTAATTATTTCTAA